CTCGGCAATTAGACTCTTTTCCTGGAAACAGACAAGCAAGTGACTTTTTCTTGATCTAATAAAACTAAATTGTGACTATACATTTAAAAAAAAAAAACCCTAAACAAACAGTTCCTGACATAAGCTGCATACATGAGTTGCAGAAGTACCTCTGGCTTTAGAGGACAATTCTAGAGCTACGCTACATAAAAATCTCAGCATGCATAAAAGTCATATTAAAAATACAGTCCTAAGCTTTTCTATAAGTGATTTCAGCAAAAGCTGAAGATAACAACAAAGCTTAAGATTCATGCACCTAAGTTCTGTGCTTTGTGAACACGTCCTTTAGAGTCCATAAAGAAGTATTTTAAAAATACTTTTTTTAATTTACTAAAATTAAACTTATTGCGGTGCTTAATTACYGCAGCCATTCAGCTGATGCCGACCTGCAAACCCCATTCCTGACAATTAAGCAGCCTGCTCTCGGTGCAGCGGGGCCGGCTCCTGCCGTGCTGTGCCAGGGCCTCGTGGGACCCTCTAGGYGCTCCTGGGGACCCTGTGTGTGCAGGGGGGTTGGACTAGATGATCCCTGAAGGTCCCTCCCAACCTTAACCAATCTGTCATTTCACGGTGCAGACGGCTGCGAACGGCACCGGGCACAGCCCCCAGGGCAGCACTGTTTCCCTCTCTCATTGAACATGGCATCCCGCACAGCGGGAGCTCCGTTCGGTACCAGTTACTTCAAACCAACCATCTTTGATCTCTCATAATCAGGAATCAATCCGAGCGCTGCGTGTGGATACGCTGGCAATTCAGCGAGTCAATCAGACCAAGGCGGAGGCTGCTCCGGCTGGAGCACCRCAGAGCGCAGCCCTTTCCCTTTGCTTCCGTCAGCGCTCCCGAGCGGCCTCTGTGCTGCAACTCTCCACGCAATAATCCACGCACAGTATTTCAGGAACACACTATCTGCCCAAAGGGATACCAATAAATCAAGCTGCAGCTCGAAAGAACTCTCTGGTAGTTAAAACTCAAGATATACTGAATGCATTCTGTACAAATAAGGTCTTCTCTTTTTAGTTGAGATGTCAGACCCAACCAGGAAGCTTCAAGCCAGATTACTCACCAATATGATTATTTTTTTCCATTAACTATTTTCAAACAATGTGCTTTCCCAATAAAAGCATTTCCTAATATAGCATTCCTTGAGGACGGGTGTCTTTTTTATTTTAATAGATCATTCCTCTTTTAATGTTTCAATGTTCCTAAGTACCATCAATTTGCTACATGTRAAATCTCTGTATTTCAACAAGTTCATTCCTGGAGAACTTTATTTTCTTTTATTTAATAGCTGCCAAAACTGAGTTTGGTCTACTGACTCCTAAATTCCGCCCCAGGCTCAATATATGAGTCATGGGAAGTGAAAATCCCTCCTCTTACCAACCCTAGGGCAGGGATTTAAGGAATGAAACATCAACTTATCCCTTCCATCTTAACTTATACTGGCCCAACGCAAAGCTTAGTGGGAGAGAAAAGATGTCAGAAAAGCTTCTCAAGTTTCTGTTGCTCAGCTGATTCTTGAAGGCAGCTCAGTAACTGCACAAGAGGGACATCTGTGCCCTGCCCTGAGAAGGTTCTGAGAAAGATTCAATCTTTGTCACAGCAAAAGATGACACCTTTGAGTCTCAATTGCTGAAGCAGGGCAGCACCAGTACCGTTTGCTGTCAACTTTCTCTTGCAGAGCCTAAGAACACAGGCGAATAACCCGCAAAAAGTGATGTCACGGGAAACAGAGATACATGCACCAGTTAATAACAGAGCAGCAAAGAGAAATGAAGAGTGAAAGGAACCACATCCCAAACCAGGCTAGGGAAATGGTTACTTCCCCAAGCTACTGAGTTCTGTCAATAGTGACACTAACCATGGCAACGCTGAGGCATATTGTCAGGATGACACCACCTCCTCCGGATTTCCTTGGAAGACTTGGCATTTCAAATCCCTGTCTGCCAAAGACATGTGGTGATAATCGCCTGTGACCCTATGGTTCAGGCACATATCCCAGTCATACTGAATGGCAGAGCCTTCAGCGTCACCAAACAYGACAGAAAGACCCTTCTGCCTTCCTTAAGCGCGATAGCTCTGGCACTCAATCTGTCCTGCACCACTCAAGTGGCCACCCCTTCAGTTACTGCTATTTGTGGAGGACACTGTGCTTTCAGAAATGGGCCCTCATGTGTTCTGCAGGTCTTGGGTCTGTAGACCTGTCAGTCCCTTGGATGGAAAAAGACCTCACTGYCATCCAGTTACTTTAAAACCATCCTTAATTCAACCCCCAGTAAAGCAAAATGCAAGCAAGCCAGTCTTTATTTAACTTACCTGAAAAAGAAAATGCAGTTACGAGTATTTCACCAAAGTCATTAATAAGAACATTTTACCAAAGCTACCATAAAGAAATGAAAGAAAATCTCAGCCGAATCTGTTTACAGTATAGCTGCATGAGAAAGTCAACCTTTCCCTCCTCAGCTGACGCACCGTTGCCTTCCCTCTACCTGAAAGCTGCCAGGCTTCCAGGCTGCAGTTATGTCCTCTCCTTCAGCAGGTRATATCCTTCAAATCCACATGCACTCCATAGCAATACATACATCACAGCAACCCCCAAACTGCATATAATACAGAGAGCTAATTGTATATAACTGTATAGAAGTATAATAGATATAATTGTATGCAAGATAGAGAGGCTAGTTGTATATACCATATTACCAGCTTTGACTGAGGCTGAACACGCCTGATGAGCATGCTGGAGCCACTGATACCTTGTTCCCTCATTTTATGTGCGCTATGCAATCAAAAAGGGGCAGCAGAGTGATCCATAAAAGATTATCTTTCTGCTTACACTGCATATGCCAAATTCTGTGTTAGTTTAATAAGAGCCCTGAGCTTCCAGTATTATTACAACAAGAATAAACAACTCATTTTGTCAAAATGTCAAAACAAGATTGAACATCTGTAATTCCAGACTTTGGAAATCCACTGCCAGGAAAGTCTGATAAAGAATAAAACCGCATTCCTTCACCTATTCTTAAAAAAAAAAAAAAAAAAGTCCCTGAGTAAGGTTTCCTCCATTCTCTCAACAAAGATCAAGTTCCATCAAAAACCTCTCCAGTAATAAAGCTTGTTTAAACACTACACGTCAACGCACCCCCTGCTCCAATTCCACCAGCCCACAGCTGTACTGATGCGACTGTGAATGTGACCTGCAAAACAATCTGCTGTCAAGCTACCAACACCATCTACTTTCCAGTAATCCAATTCACAAGTGCAGAAGCATGACCAAGAGCTTGAGCAAAAGCATCTGGCAGAAGGCAGAGACATTTAAAGTCAGCCATGCCACCGCAAGACAAATCTAACACAATATCCATGAAAATCTACTTAACTTTCTCGGTGACCTCTTGGAGAAAAAAAAAATGCAGCAGAAAAGACAATACACCAGTAGAGATGCTTGTTGTCCATCTTCTTCAGAAAAACAGGAAGAAATACAAATAGTGGCCTTGGGCTAGACAGCAGCACTGCAATCCTAAGCGATTTGCCGTGTATGTCGGTTCACTAGCTAGCACCTCCACCCTCCAACCACCTCTGTGCTGGCTGCCCCATGGACCAAGCTGCTAGCTTTGTAAAGCCTTGCTTTAAGGGCAGAGGTTTGCTGCTGGTTTTCGGTGGCTGAAGAACAAGGTTTAGGAGGGCTGGCCAAGTGGCGCGGCTTGCCCCGGCCCTCCGCCTCACGTGCTCGCACAGGAGGCATGGGGATGTTTGCTGGCGGGCTGCAGAAACACATCAGGAGCACAAACACTGCATGCAGCTAAGGCAAACTCATAATCATAGACAGAAACTTTTATTGTCTTGTAAAAGATGATTCACAGAGCTATTTGTTTGAAAATGGCACCCTTCTGCTGTGCCAGCACAAAAGTTCGCTTTGACTAGTGAAAAGCTTTCTTCCTGGAATGCTGAAACACTTCATTCTCCTTAGAAATGCACAGCAACAAATATAGCATTTTTAAGGACTCATGAACTAAAACGAGCCCATATGTTAGAAGYAGGCCTTGGTTTGCAAACGGGGTCTAGTAACAACCCCTTTTTCTTTCAACTGCAACAGTCTGAGTAGCACGAAACTGCTTGTATCAATRTAATTCATTTTTGGAGAGAAATAACCAGGAACCAGCATTATAATAACTGCATGCCTACTCTAATAGCATAACAGTATATGGCATTATGCTTAACAATGTAACAGTACATCTAAAGCAGTACAACATATGTTTGTAGACAACCCCTGGATCCTGATGATGGAGCTTCTGTAAGGCATTCCAAGGAAGATTTCCATCAGTGTATGCCAGAGCCTTTTCTGATAAATTAGCTCTAAAATCCGTGGTGGGACAGGGCCCAAAGGCAAAGACAACACAGATCAATTCTTTCATTCAATTATCTAGCTACAGCTTTCAGTACAACTAAAAATTGAAGGCGTCCCAAGAGCAAATCATCTGCATTCATCAAGACAGTGATAACACGACAGAGTGCTTGGTGAAAAGGGCTGCAATTTTGGCATGTATTCATTCTTTTGGATGCTCAGTTAGTATTTACGCTCTGGCAGAATAAGTAGCCTTGTCTAAAACTTGTGTGAATAACTTTACTGGGAAACCCAATTCCAAGGCAGTGCAAAGGGCTAAGCTGTGCTAAAGTCAGGGCTAAACCAGCGTATACTTCCAGGCAATAATACCGGCTTTAAGTCCAATCGTGCCAAGCTGTCAGTCCATATCTGCAAATGCTACAAGCTCATTCAGGTAAAGAGGAAGTTTCTTTTGTCTGGACACATCTGAGTCCACACAAAGGTGGTAAAGGAGTCTGAGTCCACACAAAGGTTGTCTATAAGACAACACAGTATTAACCAAGTCTATATGAAACTATTTGACAAGACTTATAAGAAAAAAAAAGAAGCCCAATCAGGTAACCAAATATTTACAAGAGAGATTTACCTGAGCCTGCAGTTCTTCCAGTTTACGCTTCCTGGCATGAAGAGCCTTACTTGGAAAGGCCCAGAAATAGTTGGAAGTTCCAATTCTGTCAGTGTCCACCATGCCATCATCCACTAAGCTTTGCAGAATCTCCTTCACTGACATGGATGCTAATAAAAGCAAAAATATCAAATTAGAACTGCGTAGGACCTCAACTAGGGAGAACAATAACACTGTAAGACAACACCTACAATCATCTGTATGAATATTTCACTCTTTTGYCAGCTAGCTGGAAGATTTCAAGAAGACACCATGCCTAATATTTCACTTGAAAGAATGAATTCCTTTGAAATCAGTAGTTTATGCATGAAGGCTGCCATTCTATACAGTCTGGTACCAGATGCTCATAAAATAACTCAGAATGATCACAAAATATACATACACATTACAGTATGATACCGTAACATCCTTCTGAGAGGACACATAAGAAGTTGCCCTACAACCTTAACCCTAACACTTATCAGCTTTTAATTCCTTAATTAGGCATGTAATTGCATTTCACTTTATAATGCCTATCAAAGCATTAGACAGCAGCAGACACACTAAAGCCATCTGTCTGCAAACTCAGAGGGACGGTTGGTACATGTGATTATCTTCAGTTCAAGCACAAAAAGTTGTCTTCAGTCAGAAGGATCAAAACCTTCACTAAAATAATCGTGCATTCTTTTTCTAAATGATGAATGATACCATGCATCTGCTAGAAAATGATTTCTGTTCAGCAGTGGAAAATGCTGCAGGTATGAATACTTTTTAGCTTATTCACAGCTTTTAGTGTCTGACCTTCAAATGCAGGTCTAAAGAGGTCCTGCAATTGAAGGTCAAAGGATCTAAACTAGATCCTTGTTTTCAGAGGAACTGCTCTAGATCAGGGAGAAATCTGGAACGCCCCATCTTTTGGAAACCAAATGCTAGATGCCAGTAGCAGGGGCACTTCCTCAGACTAAAGCTCTTCTTTTTAAAATAACTGGAGCTTAGGATGGGTGTCTAAATCCCTCCACATACAGGGACTGGATGAACTTGGGCTTAGCAGCATCAAATATATTAACCGTTTTAGAAATTTTGTAATTGCAGATTTTTAAATATGAACTTCCATTGCTTATATGTGCTGTTTTGCAGTTGCAATTAAACATATGAAGTAAGAATTTTGACAAATCAATCGAGACAGCATCACATCTGTGTAGATGCCTGTTAGTGCCTCTGCTGGGTGCTGACATAGCTGTAAAGCACTGCTGTGCAATTTGTATGTCTGTCACTTTTTTCCACAGACCTTCTTCATCCATTCCCAGCGTCACCAAGATATGCTCATCTTGGACAGTGGCAACTATATAAATGTTACACTTCTACCCYCTTTTGTTAATGAGCACAGGAGCAGAACGAGGAACACATAAAAACAACCCAGCAGCATAAGACAGATCATCCTGGACTTAATCCAAAACCAATGGCTCTCATCAGGGAGGCTTTGGCTGCAGAGACAAACCCTTTCTGTGTACAGCTGTTTAGCCATTCTGTTGGGAAAACTCAACAAAACATGGGCTGTGTACATCTGGACTAGCATTGGAAGATATTTGTGACACTACAGGCAGGCATTTAAACCCACTGTTCATTAGCTGAGTTAATACATCATGGTTTTCATGGCAGGAAAGTCACTGGAATTCAGGCATCTCAGGACCTATGGGAAATCCCATCCCACATTGCAGTGGTTAATTCAGATTTAGCTGTCAATTTTAGTAACCTCCCACTTTGGCCACGTTGTCCAATGTAAATGACAAACATGACCAAAGTATCCCAGGAACTTTTGGTTGATCCTACTCTCTAGCTATTTTTTTTTTCCAGTTATTATTATGATCACAAGCCTAGAATCGAAACCAGGAAAATTTACACAGTATGACTTGTCTGAAAAAAATGATTAATAGCTCAAGATATATACATTTAGTGAACACTTACTAATCCCTTTTTCTTTTGGAGCAATCTTCTCTATATCCTTCAGCTGGAACACGTCTTTCTGTGCAAAACATAAAAGACACTTCAGCTCCAAGACACGGCATCAACTAAGCCTCAGTGGTTTTCTAATAAATCAACACCAACAAAAGCAAGCAGGWTATACAATGTATGCTTATGTTTTCCTAGGGAAATGTGCTGCAGATGTTTCAAGATTATTAGATGAATATGAGTATTTTTTTTAAAAAACATATTACAGTAGCAAGCCCTCTTCTTGTCTGTGTTATTCACTATCTCTTCTCTGAAGTTAGCCTGTAAGCCCTACAGGACAGGAGGAGCCAAGGCCAGATTGCCAGCACCAGGTGCACTGCGTTGCTCAAGCATTTGAACGGCACAATGATTTTTTGTTTTAACAAAGAGGTGAAATATCTTGTGTTTCCTATGCCACCGATGCAATGGCAGTGCTGCCCTCAATCTCCAGGTTTCTCTTCTCCTCATTGCCCTCACTCAGGTCTGCTCTCATCTTTGCTCTTCTGACACTTTGATTTCTTCTTCCTCCCATCAAGTGCAAGAAGATCATTCCCGAGGCCTGGCTGTTCCTCCTGTAGCTCTCAAAATCAGAGAGYATGTGCCCAGTTCCCAAAGAGGGAGTCGGGTAAGAGCATCCTCACTGCACTGCTTCGTCAGGGGACCAGCCATACGACCCAAAGCTACGTAAATCAACAATTATTTATAATTTATGCATTAATGACACAGTGCATCAGTGAAAAGCACAATACACCCAACTCACTTGTATTTGTAGTTAATCTCCTTTTAGCACCATTTTTTCCTACTGGATATAAAGTGAGGATAATTATAAAAACGTTACTCACTGTTTCAAAAAAGATCTCCATCATGCGAGCTCTCTTCTCTTCAAAGCTTAGTCCTTTTTTCTTGGACTAGAAGGAAAAAAAAATTGTTAACAAAAAAAAAAGCACCCCATACTCTGCCATTTTGCTCAGAATGTGTATCTGAATACCCCTAAGTTATATTACTTTGCCATCTTTTAAAATACCTCAAAACACCACTTCCCATAGAGTTTCAAATAGACTTCTGTCCCAAAGAAACACTACACCAAGCGAATCCACCCGCAATAAATTAACCTGATGCACACATTAAGTTTGGAATCGCTGGTTTGTTACGCAACCCAATCCATCTCAAGCCTCCCTATTTCTTGGCACATCTAAATAGTTTTTTTTTTTTTTTTTTTTCTTTCGGTTCCAAACTTAATATGTGTGCATCAGGTTAATTTATTGCAGGTGGATTAGTTTGGTGTTCGCATTTTAAAAGCAATGTTTCTTTTATTCTTTTCTTTATACCTGGGGGACCAAGCTGCAAAGCGTACTGATTAAAACAGAAGGAAACTGTAGAAATGCCTGCTCACAAGCTGCAACCTGTAATATAAACCAGAGGAATATCTTCCCCTGATCACTTTCAAATATACTATTTTGGCTTGCCCTTACAACATTAGGATATGAAACCTTTCCTGGAGAATCAGCATATTTTTCTCCAAATTAGGAATATTTCACACAGGTTTTTCCTGCTAAAAAGCAGTAATATAACGTCACTCAGGGTGGCTGTTTGGGGGGAAAAAACCCCGTGTACTGGCTATGAACTAAGAAACTGCACAAGCAGTGCTGCAGAGGAGAAGGGTGTAAGCGCAGGGGCTCTCTCCCACCCGCAGCACTCGGACACACGCCGGCGTTGCCCCTTCCCCTCGGCTCGGGGACCTGCCCGTTCTGCTACCAGCGGCTACAGGGAATTACGATGCTGACAGGAAAACAGGGTATGGCCCGAAATGGGCCTTCCATCAATGGGARAATAAATACATATAAATAAAACACATAACTAAGGTTTCCTTTCAGTAAAAAGGACATAAAGAACGTTGACTCTGAGTCAATAAAACTGGCAGGTTCTAGGAGGTGCGATTTTAAGCTTTGTTACCACGGAGCGACAGCACCACACCGCTTATTCTATATACATATATATGTTTGTATGTATGTCTGTAAAGCGCACAGTCCCGCCGGGCCGGCGTTTCCCGCCGCGGGGAGGCGCCGCGCGGGCGGCCGTTACCCGCAGCAACGGTCGCAACGGCCGCGCCGCGCCGCCATGCCCGGCCCGGCCCCGGGCGGC